TCTGTACAGCGAATTCTCGCCACTACGCTAAGTTAGCAAGAACGAAGCTGAGGGAGCTGTCTCTCATCGATATGGATATTGGTAAACAAGTATGTCTTACATTAATATGGTAGATCTTACTCTTTCACGCGTGTAAACTTACAACCCTTCGTCTAAACAGTATTCCCATACAAAAATACTGGGAACTTAGGAACTGAAAAACGAAAGGCGTAGCTTAGGGCATGTTCCTTCCCACGGGGTAGAGGCTCTTTTCGATCTTGTCCTTGACATTATCGAAGCTCTTCGATACTTCCCAGTTCTTGTGTTCGATGTATGGGTACGTTATCTTTAAGCTTTTGCGGACCTGAGATGAATCCTTGCCCGTAATAACCCAGTAGGGGATCTTGAGCTTCAAGAGGGCCAATCGAACAGTCTCTTTGAAGTCTCTTTCTTCGTTGGCGGCTCCATTCTTCTCGGCGCTTTCCTTTCTTAGGAATCTCTTCGAGTTCTCATTGGCCGTCTCTCCGGTGGTCAAAGGTCCAACTTCGAGTGTCTTGGAACTCGTCGCCGCAACAGTTGTAACGCCATAGGTAGTGAGTGCATGTAGTCCGATGATAGTCACGATGACAGCGCGCCACACCAGCATGATAGTAGTGGCAACGAACGTTGAGACTTTAGTACCTTTGCGCGAATCGCTCAATGCGCCCGGAGGTATTTAATTGCGAGCTGTCTTCTGTCCGCGTGCCGCACATCATCAGCCGCTTCAAGTATGTAAAAACGTAGACTCTTCACTGTACAGTGCTGTACCGGCATACAGAGGCTTTACTCACATGTCAAAAACGGCTTTCACTTGAAACAAATTGTTACACACGCACATACGAACTTCCCTCTAAGCTTATTTTGATACTAATTTGTAATACTACAGGATTTATGTTTGATACATAAGTTGACTAGATAATTAACATGCATAACCTGTTTGACTAGGACACTCAGACCAAAATTTAACTCTCCCAGAATCAAATTTAAGGGACCCCCCCTCTCCCCACAGTTAAATTACCAATTTTACTGTATTGGTATTTGTTTGGCATCCAGTACGTGTTTTGTCGATTTAATATTAGGGTTGTGGATTCTGAAAAAGTTCACACTGGCGAAAACGGTAAGCACGACTGTAAAACGCTGTAAACGTCTCTTTTCAGCCGTGAGAGCCTTGGTGAACCTGTCTCTCACTACCATTTCTTCACTAGTACATAATATCTACTAGATATTATCCTGACAGCACAGAACCGGACTGATGCGATGGAGCCGCTACTGCGTCATCCGCACCGTTGTGCTTTTACCAATAATATTAATATTAATAATAATATTTAGAAATGTAAAAATGACAAATCCTACATTAAATACGTATATTTTGAGCAAAACGTTTTGCTATCCGCTGGAATCCAGTGGCCCATCCAGTCTGGAGGGGCTATGGGAGCAGACTGATTTGTTCCACGACTTTCCCAGATGACACACGGACAGGAGAAATCCGCCCCGACCTGAAAAACATCCTTCACACAAAACAAAAATACAG